TTAATACTTGTAGTGAAGTATTTTTAATAAATAAAGATTTGTCCATGAATATATTGAGTATTTGCTTTGTATAGTCTGTGTGAAAAGTAATTTTCATGTTAAAATTAAAAATACTTTTCCTCATCCCAAAAATCTTAAATTTCCTTTGTGTAACTCCTAAAACCTTGTAAATGCATTTTAAACCTCGTAACCACCAGAAAAAAAATATCAAAATAAATCTAAATTGCTTCTTTTTTTCTTTCTAGAATGACTTCAAATTGTAACATGAAACTACATTCATTTATCTTAAGTAGCTCTAAGTTAGTAACAGTATACATCTATTTATAATTAAACTTTATTGTTTTATTGCCCTTTGAACCATGTCTAACTACTATCCCCACCGTTTTAAGTTGTAAATCACTCTGAGATTGTGTGGCTCATGTTACGCTAATGAATTACATTATGCACGAACTACTACAAGCTGCTCGCGTGTGTGCCTCATGAAACATTTTTATTGTAATATTATTATTATTTATTTTACCTAATCTAATCTTAACTAACCTAAAAGGTTCCCTATTTTTACATTTTAGTTACTTTTATAATTATACATAAGGAATAAACATGAAAAATAAGAAATAAAATACTTAAACAATCTTCTTTTTTCTTGCTGTTGATTATTGAAGAGAGTTAACTAATGGTAGTAATGCACTTAATTTATATTTAATTAAATATTGCACCAAAAATGCAAAAAGTAGATAAATTCCTTAACTTCTCAAAATTTTTCTGGCCTTCTAACTATGGGAGAAAAGTATTTACAAATTCATCCAAGCTAGTCGTTAATTATCTCACGGGAACTATGTTGGTACTCAGAGTGAAATGACATTTAACCGTTCAGAACATAACATTATACAATACATCATTTGATAAATGAAAACCTTGGCTTTCTATTGGTTTTAAGTAATATATAATAAAACGTAAGAGAGAACTATTAATGAATTCTGAAAGAGAGAGTGTGGCAGGAGGGTTTGATTTTCTATTCAATAGCTCTGTAACCAAACAAAATTGAAGACTATAAAAATTATGGTTTGTCTGAGGAATGACGATTTTATAGAGAGTAACTTATATTTAATTTTGTACTTTTTTGAGGGGTGGTGGATAAAATAGGAAAAATGACATGCTAAAAGAAACTGTGTCATGTGGGTCACACTAGGGGAAATTAAGAATTTTTTTACATTACTTTGCAAAATTAAGAACTTAAAACTTATATATTATTAAAATATGGATTATTATCTAAGATTTTATGCTATTCTAATTGGTATAACATAAAAAAAAATTAGTTTAATAAAATTTTGAATATAAGACACTAAAATATTGTGTTATGCACAGTAATGGATACCTGCAGCAATGGGGTAACAGATAAAATAAAATATTTTACTGAAAATTTATTTATGAAGTTTTGAAGGCTACACAAATGAAATTTAAAATTTTTGGGACACAGAAAAGTATTTTTAATCTTAATTTAAAATTCACTTTGCACTTAGAATAATCAAAGTTAACATTTTCTAACACTAAAAATGTATTTCCGATAGGTGCTTACCTCTCTCACCCAAAGCTATCTCGACCTTGATTTGCCCTCTAAGCTTTGCTAAAATTTCCAACAGCGTACATGTGCTGATCATGTGACTACCCTGCACCAATCATACTGTGTCACCTATACTTTTGAGAATTGACAGATACAAACTAGAAACTCCAGCATATCAGTGGGGAAGAAGGGCAGGAGGTAAGTAAGTGTAAGAAAATGTTAGCTTCCAAAACAGTACAACCTCTTCTCACCCAAAGCTATAATCCTTCATTAAAAAGGTGGAAAGGCTGGTGAAGGTTCATCATTAATCAAACAAGTGGAGAACAACTGCCATGAAAGAACAGGTGTGCCATAATTAGAAGGCTCAACATTAGCCAAATAAGCAGAGAATAACCACAATGAAAGAACAGGTGTGTCAATTAGAAAAGGAGGCATCCCTGAGGGGTATAGCACTACTTCTGGAACATATATGCTATTTGCCCAGTAACAAACACAGGAAGACATATAGAGCAGAATGTAATAGTCAGGAACCATGTTATGTAATACAGATTCCAACCATGGACAACAGATAGTACCTAAGTTGTTCACATACGTAACAAGCATGAACACATGACATAATGATAGGTAGAATTGAGGAAGGTGCCTGATAATCTGATATAAGTATACATGGCTAGGGCTAAAGAACTGTAAAATCTATAAGAATAGGCACAAAACATCCAGGAGAATCACCTTGGTATATGTCAGATTAAGTCAAGTGCAGTCCATCTGGGCAGAAAATATCCAGTGCAAGTGTCTTGCATAAAATTGTCTGTTTGATATATCAAGAAAAATGATGTGACAATAAACCCACCTAGATGAGAGGTAGAATTCCATGGTGAAGCAAGGAGTCTCCAGATAAGTATACAGCCAGGACAGATCTATGATATGACTCTAATCTCCCATGTTTGTGGAGACAACAAATAGACAGGAGTAGAATCCCAGTCAAGTGGTCACCACCCATTCAATAGCTCCAAGTGTAGTAGGTCTCGAACAGACTTAGCAAGACGACTGAATGAGGTACGATCCCGAGGAGAAGGGAAGGAGATCTAGGAAGTGGATGAGGAGAAAGTCAAACGGAAGGCAGAAACCCTCAGATAGAATCCATAGAACTATCGTGAAGTGTAGCCAAAAAACACATAAACAAAACATACTTAAAGAAAGTACACATTACTAACAACCTAACAACACTTATAAACGTGAAGTCTACAAAATACAGAAAAACAACAAACCTACAAAACTATTAAATTCAACCTAAACATAAAACAATAAGTAATACCTAATGTACAAAATCACTAAACAAACTAAGATAAATGATTATGAAATATCGAAGTGATAACTCAGCCCAATGAATCTATAAGACAAAGCACACAAAATTAAAACCTACCCTGAAGAACATGAGAATAAAATGGGACTCTGTGAACAAAAACTAAAGTTTAAAAAATGCTTAGAGGGCAACTCAAAGTTGAAATAGCTTTGTGTGAGAGAAGATAGTACCATTTCGGAATCATGGTTAAAATAAATTTTTTCAGTGTTCCACTTCTTTGCAGAATCTAATTTTTAATAATGCAAATATAGCAAGTATTGATCTTTCTCACTCTGTACATCAATATCCTGTAGCAAGAAACCACTGATTTTTCTAACGACTTTTTGCATGTGCAGATATAACAAATGTGCTGTCTAAGCATGTATTTACTAATTTAATGTCATTTACTGTATAAAAAATAACCCTCACACCTTCTTATCTGAGTGTCTAACTATGGTGGAAAGAACAAATAGTCATTCTTATTTGTGTATAGAATATTTAATTTCCTGGAAAAACGTAGTTATTGTGTTTCGTAAAGTGTGGTCTTTTTATATGCACATAAAGTTTGTTTGTTTTTGAATTTCGCACAAAGCTACATGAGGGCTATCTGCGCTAGCTGTCCCTAAGTTACCAGTGTAAGACTAGAGGGAAGGCAGCTAGTCATCACCACCCACTGCCAACTCTTGGGCTACTCTTTTACCAACGAATAGTGGGATTGACCATCACATTATAACGCCCCCACGGCTGAAAGGGCGAGCATGTTCAGTGTGATGGGGATTCAAACCCGCGACCCTCAGATTGCGAGTCGAGGGCCTTAACCACCTGGCCATGCCGGGCCTTGTACATAAAGGACACCAACATATTGCATAGAGTGCACAGATGGATTACTAAAGTATCTTACTTGAATAATTTATAGAACAGCATGAGATTTCTTAAACCTCAGGTGATAATTAAATTATTTAAGGTTCGAAACACCACTTGCAAACTTTTATTTCTTGGTTAGTTATAAAATTGTGGAATGGTTGCTTGATTTGGTGTATGCAGTTGGTTTTAAATCTTTAAACTTAAGTAAAAGGCTATTTTGAATTCATTACATTTTAGGAGGTAGATGGGGTGACTTTGTTAGAGAGATAGATCTTACATTACTTTTCTTTTTATGCTCTTAAAACTTTTAACCAGGTTACTATTTAAATTACATTTATTATTAATAAATAATGAACAATATAAAACTCAAAACAGACCTTTCATAGACCTCACTAGGTACATTTTACTAGTCAGAAAAATTCCTAATTATCACTACAGTATTTAATTCTTTGAAATAATGATTTTATTGTGTCTGAGAAAACAGTTGCAAAATTATCAATTAACTGCAGGAGTTGTTCAGTAAACTAAATTTCGGTAAATTTATTAATGCAAAACTGCTTAATAACTTTACAATTTGGATACAGACTAGGATATAATTACACATTTAATCAACAAAACAGCTTCATTAATAAAATAATTACTTCATCACATTTTTATGCATTTGGCTTAAAGATGATTTAGTGTAATTACAAGTGTGCTAGGAGATCAATAGGATAAAGGCCTGTTTTATTCATGCTCTTTCCTACATGCAGTGAGATGAGAGGACACAAATTCAAGACTTGGGAAAGACAAGACAGGCTTCAGTAAAGACAGTGTTTTTTTTCTAATACTGTTATTAGTTTATGGAACTGGTTTCCATGATAAGTAGTGCTAGTGGTGACCAGAACTTCAAATGATTTTAAGAGAGGAAGCATGAAATTCCTGAAAAATAAAAAGTGGTTTTTAAATTTTTACTTTTACAAAGGTTTAAAGTGCAAAGACAGACTTGAAAGTGATGGGTCAAATAGTCCCCTGCTGTGCAAATATTAAGATGACATAAGTGCAGAATTTATCTAACATTATACATCATAACAACTTTCTGACAACTCAAAAATAAGTTTAATAAATAATTCTACACAAGAATAGTATTCGTTCTTTTATCTCATGGTAGTAAACATTACAATCATCTAATTAAAAATGTAACCATTAAAATTTTCTCTACTTAAAACTAAAAGTGACTAAGTTACACCCTACCCGAGTCTGAATGGGGAATGGCACATTTGGGAACTGGCGAACTTCTTCTACTACTTTTTCTCTTAACCTCTTTAACATTTTAGTTAAATCAAACTCTTCTGTTACAATCACTATTATTAGTAACAGTATTGTCAGTAATCACCGTAACCTATAGTACACAGTACTACTACTCAATAATAGAGTAACTTCGTCAACTTCAGTCTTCAGAGTAAGACTCGAGTCTGAAGAGATCCAAAACTTCTGTTATTAAAATGACTATAGAGTAAATATTGAAACACACAGCGTTAAAGTTTCTTCATTAGAACATCAAAACAAATCCAGGTCTCAGTGGTATTAATCCGAAATTTACAAACATTAGGGATATTATAAAATTAGAAAACAGTCCAATGTAAATAACACGTCCCCTGTCGTGTTTGCAACGCTACCTGAAAAAACGAAACTTACGCATCAGTGGGGTATATGAAACATTTGAGTTTGTTTTCTAAAGTTACATACATTGCTTAATAAACGAAATGATTTAAATGAAAAAGAACCAGCTACCTTTCACATCATACTCCGATTAGAGACAGTATGACACTTTCTGCTTCAAGGGTATTTTTGAGAACAATTGAAATAATGTTTTGTTTTAACATGTATCTATATAAATATAATAACACTGTTCATGTAACTACTTCGCAGGGTGAGGACAGATCTTCATCAAAATTAATATGGAGGTTCAATAGGTCCATGGGGAGATAATTACAAATTTTCGGTTTTACATTTTATGTTTTGCTGTTTTTATGGACGATTTTGTGTTTTTTTACAACTACTTCTCACCTTGTAAATGGATCTTCAGCACATTTGGTAAGGAGGTTCAATGAAGCCTTGGAGAAATATAAACAAATGTTTAGTTTTGCATTTTGCGGTTTTTACAGGCATTTTTTATCACTACTTCGCCCCTTTTTGATGGATCTTTACCAGATTTTGCATGAAGGTTTGTTGAGAGATGCATACAAATGATTAGTTTTGTGCTTCGTTTTTTTGCGGTTTCTATGGCGTTTTTGCGTTTTATCACTATTTCGTCCCCTGTTGATGGATCTTCACCAAATTTGGCATGAAGGTTTCTTGAGGCCATGTGGAGATACATTTTGTGTTTTGCATGAATTTACACAACTTCCGTCTAAGGGGCGGGTACTCCATCTAGTCTATATAAATATAATAGTACTGTCTGTTGTATGTCCATGTAACAACTTCTCAGGATGTGGATGGATCTTCACCAAATTTGATAAGGAGGTTCATTAGGCTCATGCGGGGGTACATACAAATTTTCAGTTTTGCATTTTGTGTTTTGCTAGCCTTAAAAGAGCTGAGGGACGATTAGCTAGACGGAATGAAAAGCTCGACTAGTACTATTACCAGACTGAATACCATGCAGGCACAGCTCATAGTCAACAACATTTCCCAAAAGAGTGCAACCATTGTGCGAAGAAGAAACAACTTCAGAAGTATTGACAAGCTGCTTCTTCCAGAAATATTTAATCAAATACTGAGCTGTTCCAAGAAGAGAGAAATAATTCACAAAAGATACCCATTTTCATACACAATAAAACAATTGCCAGAAAGACTAGCATGAGAGAATATAACTTACATAAGCCCTGAGACTAAACCATACAGGTCTCATTGGAACTTTTGCATCTAAAGTCTGGTATACTGCAAAGAAGATGTGAAACCCAGATGGGACAAAAAGGTACTGGCAATCAGTCATTCCCAAGTCAAAATGAGTAGCCATTTTGCAAGAGTCACATGATGACATCTCAGTTGGACTTCTCAGAATGAAGAAGACACTTGACTGACTTCACAAAAGGTTCTACTGGAGTGGCATGAGAAAAGATGTGGAAGAATGGTGTCGCGCATGTAGAGTATGTATGTGATACAAAAATGGGGCACCTAAACTGAGGAGAGCGACACTTGAATTGTATTAGGTTGGAGCACTACTGGAGAGAATATCATTTTGACATCATGAAACCATTGCGAAAAACTGATACCGGAAACAAACATACACTAGTAGATGTGAAATATTTTAAAAGGTAGACAGAAACTTACGCAATCTCAAATGAAAAAGCAACCAAAGTAACAAAACTGGAGGTTGATCAGTTCTTCACAAGAGTTGTCTTACCCATGGAATTTCACTCTGACCAGAGGAGAAACTTTAGTCAGTAGTATTTCAAGGAATGCCGTGAATTACGAAATATCAGAAGATCAGACCAATACCATTTCACCCACAATCAGATGGTATGGTAAAGTGTTTCAACGAGACAACTTGCTAAATTTAGTGAAGAAAACCATACCAATTTGGAACTAAAACCACCAGCACTACTCATGGTTTACAGGATTTTTGTGCATGAATCTATAGGCTATACATCCACCAATGGACCACCCAACAATATTTCCCTATAGTTGTGGCTATTTTCTCACATATTGCTTAGAAGTTCAAGAGCGAATAAGGAATTTAATTTGATCATCAGAGGACCACTGGATACAGACCTGCCAGATAATAGTACAGACTTTGTAAGGAATCTGCAGGAACAACTGGCAGAAGTATGCCAGCTTATAAGAGAAAACCACAACTTAACTGGAGATGCAATGAAGTAGTGCTATATTGTCAAGTCACATTCACATCACTTTAATGCTGGATATTTTGTCTGGTTCATAACCCTCATAGAAAGAATGAAAGTCTCCAAAGCTGCAGGGTGACTGGGAAGGTCCTTATAAAATCGCATAACAGCTTCCAGATATCATGTTCTGAATAAAGGGTGGATGCCAGAAGAGATTAAAAGTGGTCCATGTCAACTAGCTATGGAGGTACTACGATCCTGGGACATACACTTGGAACAGAAACAATGGAGGCCAGAGAAGAGGTGAAGAAGTTGACATTCCAGGTGAACCTGATAAAGGCATTATCTGTTGCTCAACACCTGCAGTCACTTCACCCCTACTCGAAGATGAAGAGCAAGTAATTAAAAGATCTACTCAGAAGTCAAGAGAAACTCAATGTCTTTGAGTCAGGTGAAATTTAAACAGTAGGAAGTGTTGTGAACAACTGCAATAATTGTTTATTTTCACATTTATCTGACCTATATTATTGTTTGTTTATAAAGTTTTGCATTACAATTATCTGTGTTCTAACATATAATCAGTTTTTCATTTTAATTAAGAACTATATATAGATTAAGAGTTATATAGCACAGAAAGTGAAACTTTTGGGAGTTTCATAGTCTCTTCAGTGAGTCAATCATGAGTCTGGTGTCTGAGAAACTACTTGATTGTGTAGCCTAAAAACTAGAATAGTAACATATTTGTAACAGGTGAGCCAGAAAGAACTGATACGGGTTGTCTGGCCTCAAGACACTCTGGAGAGAAATGATTTTGGGCCAGAAAACATGACGTTTTATACATAATTTCATGTTGTTACGTATCTGCTCGTTTGATAATTTCCCGTAAAAATTCTTTCCGAGAAACTTCAGCGATACAAGTCCTTTCTTAATTAAAACTAGTTTATTCTTTCTCCTTACAAACTTTGTAATACACTTAATTTCCACAGTCACTTTAAATTAAACACACGCTATAATACACAACGATTCACGCATTTTATTTACAGTCACTACCGCTGACTTGACTCATTTATCTGTCTCTATCTCTCTATCTGCTATCCAATTCCGATTAATTGTCTGGCTTTATCTGACGCGCTTATATACAGGAATAGAGGGCGTCTAGCACATACTGGATTATTCGTGATGTTCCCGGATCCTTCTAGAAACTCATCACGTGTTACCAGAGTCACGTGACTTCCGCTGTCGTAACAATGTGTTATTGCAATTTATTAAGTAGCATCCCAGGTCCAGTCCACAAGTAGGTCATTCACTGAATTGGTTTAATTTTGCTGAATCACTGCTGACTCCTTGAACAAAAACCTAAACTGAACACTAATTGGATATGATCAGAAGCTGTTAAATGGCTGCCTCTTTCCATGTATCTCTCCTTTTTGTTAGCGAAATTAATCCAAACTTTACCCTCTGCTACGATAGCATCTGTTTATACAGTTAAGATCAACTGTATGATATCGCAATTCGGGACGCATCTCAGTCACTTGTATATAACCATTTCCTTTTTTGGACAATGTTCTTTAGGAAGTTTATTAAATGTGCATATCCTTGCGGCAACTGACAAGTATGTATGGCATACATAGACAATTCATTTTTCTTTATCCTAGAAGTATTTTTAATTTCTATGAAATATTTAAAATCCTTCATGTTATTGTTTTGGAAAGTGAAATATTTTGTGCAAGTAGCTTATAAACCAATTATTAAATTCATTGTTGTTTTAGTTGGACCAGCAGAACAACATTTTAACAGTAAATATTGAATTTTTGGGTGTAACAAATTCAGTAAAGTGGTCCATTTATGTTTGATTTTATCAATAAATACTCAAACTTAGATTTAGCAATTTTATACAATATAATTTTCATTTATGGCTAGCTTCTTCCAGGATCCTATCTATTATGTGACCTCTTGTGACCATTACTACTGTCATGAGAGATATTAGTGGGTCAAACTTTTCTCTGGTCAGTTTGATTTAACTTTAAAAAGAGAGGGGGTTGGAATAGATTCAAACTTGGTTTACAAGATTCTCATTTAATAAAAATAATACTAATATTGTTAACTATACTATTGTTAACAAACAAGAGGAACGAGAAAATAAACAAGAAGAGAGACTACAGCAGTAGTTGGAGGAGAAAGAAAAGAATCAAGAAGAGAGACAACAGCAGTGGCAAGAAAACTTGCAACAGTGTCAGCTCGAACAGCAAAATAAACAAGAGAGATTACAGCAGTTGTTGGAGGAAAAAGAAAATAGACAAGAAGAGAGATTACAGCAGTTGTTGAAGGAAAAAGAAAAGAAACAAGAAGAGAGACTATAGCAGTGGTTGGAGGACAAAGAAAATAAACAAGAAGAGAGATTACAGCCGTGGCAAGAAAACCAGCACCAATGGCAACTGGAACAAGAAAAGGAACAGGAAGAAAGTCTCCAACAGTTGAGAGAAAGCCAGCATACACAAATGGAAAATATTAGTAAATTTCAAAGTGAATTAAATACATTAAAGGACGATCTATTGTCTTTTACAAAGGAGGATATATTAACCATGGAACTAATCAGCCCCAGACAATAGGAAGCCCCTTCCAGACCCCACAGCTAAGACCTAATGCAGACATCTTCAGTTCTGCCAGAAGTCACATTCCAGACATGAGTGTCAGCAATAGGGGTGATCTTGTACGAAGGTACTGGCATAAACGAATGGATGGACAGAAGAGCAGCAAGCAGTGTACCTGGCTACGAGCCTGAAGGGACAACTACTGGAATACTTGGACGTTGTCAGCAGATGACAGATACAACTATAGAGTACTGGTAGCTACTCTAGAACTCAGGTATGGAACTCAAAATCAGTTTAAAGTCTACAGGGCTAGGTTTAG